GTTTTGTCATTCAGGAGAATCTCTTCTTGTTTGCCACTGCCTGTTTTTTTTTTTTTTTTCAAAGACATGGTTTGCTGGCGTTTTTCAGGGCTGTTCGATGGGCTCCTGCTTCTTTTACTTCGTTCTATTTCCTTTAGGGAAGTGTTCAGGGTTTTTTTCTGAATATGCCGTCGTCTCTGCCTCTTTAAGGTGTTTAAGCGCGGCTTTGAGCCCATTTTTAACAGCGTTTGCTGTGTTAGCATACTTATCATTAATTGCTTTTAACGTCTCTGTTAAATCTTTTGTTGCTAATTGAACTTTATCAGTCACTTTCTGTTGCTTCAATCTGAGCTTAGCACCTTCTTCTTCTAAATAGACAAGCTCCTTCTGGGTCTGGTTGCTAAATACCGACACGTTGCTGTCTTTGGTATCGTTAGTGCCTATGCTCAACAGGCTTCCTCTTCGTCCTTTGCCCGTGAGGAAGGGCCATGGAACATTTAGCAGTCCCTGTTGGCCATGAGACACGTCTTTGTGGCCCCCACCAGAATCCGTGGGGCCTGCGACAGTCACCCGGGCTTTCACCGGATCGGAACTGCCGGCGGATTTCCTCAGAGAGTTTACCACCTGGGGTACAAGTTTTGCATCGACGTTTTTCATGCTGGCATCTTTTTGAATGTCGTACTGACCCGCGAAGGCCAGCACTACCCTTTTTCCTAGAAATAAGTATTTGGAAAGGGTTCAAACCAGGGCAGCAGCCCTCTCTGTAACCAGAGAGAACCGCTACTTGCTCGGGCCGGCCAGGAGTCGCCACTCTCCTTCAGTTCCACTCGCGGAGACTGCCCTGGCGTTGAGAAACAAGTCTAAGAATGGTGTTTATGAGTAATGTATGTATATATTGGTACACTACGGTCATCCCAGCGAGACGAGCAGCAACGTACAGTCCCATGACCGTGCAGACAACCCAACAAAACCAGCTGGCGTAAGGCACTAAGGTGCCACCATATAGCCTCCTCAGTGGTAGTAAGTCTAGATTAGTCGATCCACCACGTCTTTTTTGTTTATGAGGCGTACAGCCATATCAGATGTGGTTACCCAGACTTACCTGGGCCTCATCATCCGGCTTCACACGCCGCCAGGCCTCCAACGCAAGCCCGGAAAAGGACCCGCTACACGCAACCCAGAACAATCCGTTAGTGTCCCTGTGTTTGTTTCGTGAGAGTGTGATGCATGTATCTGAGAAAAATGTTATAACCGCGACTTACTTCTATACACGACGAGTGCTAGTTTTTGTTGGCCCGCATCAAGCATTGGAGTGCCACCCACGGCAGCAGAAAGCAAGAACAAGGAGCACAAGCAGGGCCGGCTCATGCATCCACACCGATGAAGACACAGGGCACGAGTCCCTTGTCCACACCGCCACAGATACACATGCCAACGCCGCACACGCCTTCTAATCCACGCTCCCGACCATCACCACAGAAAGCCACCCCAGCTGCCCATCATCACCTCATATCTTATGAGGATGCCCCTATTCGCCACCCATGGAAGCGCCCGGTATGGAGAAACCAGCGAAAACCTCACCCGGGAGCAGTAGTAGTAGGAGCAGCAGTAGCAGTAGTAGTAGTAGCAGCAGTAGCAGTAGCAGTAGCAGTAGCAGTAGCAGTAGCAGCAGCAGCAGCAGCAGCAGCAGCCGCCGCAGAAGTAGTAGTTGTAGCAGTAGTAGTAGTTTTTTGTGGAGGAAGGGAAAATGTAATGAGTCACACTGCAGGGACAGCGGTAGTGCCTGGACTTATTTTTTTTTTTTACTAGACCGCTAATACCCATTCAAACCTCCCTCCCATGCCACGTGGTTTTAGTTCCGACTCGGAGCCACGTTAGTATTACTTCAAAGTGAAGGCACCAGAGAGAACATTGTATCTCACAGCATAATCGAGCAAGCAAGACTCAGGGTCCCTGACGACCAGCACCCGTGTTGAGCGCTCCATAGTAGGCTACAAAGCACCTCTAGATGCTTGATACCTTCTTTAGCTGGCGAGTGGCGTGTACTTAGCGCAGCATGGGTTCAGATTTGCTTACACTATTCTATAGAATTGGGCCTTCTTACTTTTATGCCACATGGGCTTTTTTTCAGGGTTTTTCTATTTCTTGTCTAAATATTAGACAGCTCCCACTGCAGGTTTCGTGTTTCGTGTCTCCTGTTTTGCGAAGGAAACACCGTGCTGGACTACTGCAGTCTTTCTTGCAGTGGTTGCAGCTTCCACATTTAAAGCACAGTTTTATTTGGTCTTTTTTCTTACAGTCATGAGATACATGCCCCAGACACTTAAAAAACCTTCTTACCACTAACCTTCTTTGAACACGACAGGAGACGAATTTTATCTTGACCCAGTCTGTACGTTCGAATTTTTTGGTGACTGTTTCGACAAGGGTTACGAGCGCCATTCTTTGATCTTAGCGTTTGCTTTGAGCAGCTTAACCTTGAAGTCTTAGGTAAATTTTTCAAAAATCTTCTGAATGGATTTCCTGATTTCTCCTTCTTCAACAATACTGTCCAAACCTCAGACCTGAAGCACCACTTATCGTGCAGTAGGAACCACCGTTCTTTGGCCCACTACTAACACTTTTACACATTGAGCAAATTTTTCAATATGCTAAACTGCTTTAGTTTTTAAGAGCAAGTTTCCTTTCTTGGTGGCAAAGATACTCTGGACCACAGCACCAATCATTTCAGGGTTTAAGCCTGCCTTCATCGTCTTAAGTACCTTGGCATAGATTTGTCCTTCCCCGACCTTTACCAGTACTTTTGTCATTGTGTCGAAGCTTTTTTTCCGGGTACTCCTATGACTAGAGACCTCTTCCCTTTTGACATCGGTGATTTTTTTTTATTTAAGGTCACAGCATTTTGTCATTTTCCAGGGCTTTCTGAGGGACTCTTGCTTTGCTTCGTCCATGCTATTTAGTCCGGTGGTGAAGGTGGTGGTGGTGGTAGTGGTAGTGGCAGTGGTAGTAGTAGTGATAACAGTAGCGATAGTAGTAGCATTAGTAGTAGTAGTAGCCGTAGCAGCAGCAGCAGCAGTAGTAGTCACGTTAGTTTTAAGGATCAATTGGTAATTATTTTATCCTTTTATTTTATAATTGTAAAGTTGTAAAAGTGTATTGACAGATTCTAATTCGTGAGTAAATCTAAGATTATTGTTATAGATCTGATAAATTTTTTGTGCATACAGCAAATTTTGTCACCTACACATTGAAAAAAAAAAAAAAAAAAAGAAAAAGAACACAGTTATATTTTTTTGGAAAAATAGTTAAGCAGTGTATTTTAAAATGTATCAGCCAATATTTGTAAAATGGGTAAACCCACCAGTATATCTTTAATCTGTTTTTGTACATATCCTTTTACATTATATAGTTAAATGAGAGGGTCATTTAACATAACCCCCCCCCCTCTCAAGAAACTATGGGTGAACTTGTCTTATTTCTACGTTATTTTAACCCAATAAATATTTGATCAAGCCTCCACTGCTAATTTTCTTACAGTAACGATACTCAACTCATGTAAAAGGTATTAAAAGGTACTTATTATATTTTTGTTACTATTATTATTATTTATACAATTTATGATTATTAATTGAAAAAAAAATTCTTTTTTTCTCAAGACATTTTGCCTCCTACCTCAAAGCCTATGTAAAGGATTATAATGCAATGATAGGAGGTGGGTGCGTGAAACGCGAAAGGGGTGAAGCCCTACTAGTTTATATATGCCAATAAAAGTATAGTGGGTATTATCGAATATAAATAAATTGATCTTCCTTATATGATAAAAAGGGATTTTGCAGTTTCGTTCATTTTTTGCCAATCTTCTCAATACCACATAAAGTTGCATTCGTAAATTATGAACTAATATGAAGAGATAAAAACACTTATCACTAAATTTTTATGGTACATTTATTTGTTTCATAGAAGCAATGTATTGCAAACTATTATCAATGTGCGCTTTGGGAATAAGTAAACTGCTTCTCAAATTTTTATATAAAATCCCTGCCAAAAAAATGTAAGGCTGTTGATTGTAGAAATTAATATTCTCAAGAAATAGTTTTCTATTAAGTTTTGAAAGCTCATACACTTTTGCTAGGTTAGTGTTTGTGTGAGTTAATTATCAATCATGGTATTTATACTAAAGATAATTGCTGTCATTTGAATCTTTGATAATGTTGAAAGTATCATATTTAGATTTTTTCAATGAATTATAACTGATTTTTAGATGTGCAGTCGTTTCATTCCATTGTTGTAATCAATTTTGTTGAAGCATACTGTGACATTTCCTTTATCAGTTTGTGTGAATTTATAATATGTTTTGCAAATGTTTGAGTGTGCTCCAACTTTTTCAAAACTTGACCATGAATTGTATTTAGAGAATATCAAAGTGTTAGACATAGGATGAGATTAGTACAAACGTATGGTTTCAGAAATGATACATATCGAAGTAAATTCTTGAAACTGATTTCAACACTTGAAATTAAAAAAAGGACGTTACAAAATTAAGCAATGTTTATGATATACTACTGAAGCGTATTTATTTATGAGTATTCACTTTAGTGTGTAAACGAATTGTGAAAACATTTGGTTGATACCTAACGTAATTAGGCTCTGGAAGCCACTGCCCTTCATAACAGCAACAACATTAACATACGTTGCATTTTGGAACAGTTGAGCAAAACTTAAAGTCTTATCCAAGAGGTACGAGACGTTGTTTTATTTTAATTAATGCTTAGGGGGAGCTATTATGTTAATCAATTTGATTTAATTAAACGATTATAAGTAATAATAATTTAATAAAATCAGATAAAGTTGTTAAAAAAAAAAAAAAATGTTTAATTTCAAGTATCCAGAGTAATACAAGATATATTTATGAACACAATATCATTAGCATCAATAGTGAACTGATTTTCTTGATCAAAGCATACTTATATAGGCTAAGTTATCAAAAGCAATTAAAGTTTAAAAATAACTCATTTACTCACTTCTAACTCTTTTCTATTATCTGGTTCAACGTTTTCCTGATTGTTTGTGTCAATATTTTGGGCAGTCAGAGATTGATTGATTGTAGTAGCTGTTGTCAAAACTGGTGGAATTGTTACTGTTGGTAATGACTTTGTAGTTGGTAAGGTTTCATTAGCAGTAGCTGGTTTTTCCCAATCATAAGGATCACTTGCTTGTATACCTCTGCGTTGAATACATCTTTCAAATAAACCAACCAACATGCTGTAATCTGGTTGATCTGCATATTCTAGACTCTAAAACTCGGTAAAACAATGATCAACTTAAATCTAGCTATTATTCATTATATTCTTTTAATCTTAAGTTGTAAAAATCGTTTTGAGCTTAGGAAAAATAAAATTAAAATACTAAAGATGCTACGGATACAGCAACATAGTAGTTTTCTAATTCAGTTATAGTAGAACAAGTGCTTAAGAGGTTATTTATTCAATTATTGTCATATGTTTTGGTTCTTAGAAAAGCTTTAAAAATATTAAAAAGTGTCTATCCAATTTTTTTTAAACAGTTTACTTACAGTTTTGAAACAATACTCGCGTTTGTAGTGGTCTTTTTTTATGGAAAATCAAAGTTTGATAGGTCAGTAGATAGATTTATTAAAAGAAGTCTGAAAATAATAAGAATTTCCTCCAGTACCAATAGAAAAATTATTTGTTAGGACAAAGTATGGTGCAAATAAAAATTCAAATATAAGGCTTACTCTGTATTCTTCAAGTATTATACCAAAGGATTCATTCGAAAATCATGACAAGGTTTATAAAAGTATAATATCGACAAAGAATTTCTTTAACACGATTAAATCTAGTTAAAACATGATATTTTTTTATGATTCTAATTATTTTAACACAAAATACTCTAGTTATTTATCTCTCGTATGAAAGTGCATAGTAAATTATCACTGTTAATATCTTTAACTTACGTTTTACATGTTTATCTATACTGGTCTCTATCTAGTTATGATAAGTTGGGTTGAATTTTGAGTTACTTTATAGATGATACTTTTCATAACACTCTTTATAAATGAAAATTAATCGAATATAGTATAGAATAAGAGTGTAGGGTGTAAGGGTGGTAATCTCCTTCCCTGGTTGGTGCAGACAATCTCGTAGCGATTGAAGCCAGACGATAAGGCTCGGGTAATGCTGCGTAACCACATCTGAAATGTCTGTACGTCTCGTAAACAAAAAATACTTGGTGGGCTTGCTAATATAGACTAACTACTACTGATGAGGCTACTTGGTGGCATTTTTCAGTGCATTATTTGCGCCAGCCTGGTCTGTTAGGTTCTCTATTCTGGTCAATGCCCGTTGACCATTGTTTGGTTGCCCGTTGATATGCCCATTGCTCGTCCTCCTAGGATACTTCTAGTATACCTATACGACATTTACTACACACAAAGCTGTTTTGTTACTTCATCACGCATTAGGTAAATTCTCTGGATTGCACTGGAATATCTCCGAGGTTGGACTACACCGCAAGTGACAAGATATCGAGCTGTACAAGTGTCAACAACAAAATCACAGGAGTCAGTAATGCTACTACTTTTTGTAAGCAAACGTTAAACGATGTAAACTTTTTCGCCTCAAAGAAAAAGTACGTCATTTATTAACGAAAACTGGAAGCAGGCATTACGAATAATTCAAAAAAAATTTGAGGAGGCACTAAATGCTATTAAGTAAGAACACACTAGAACAGTAGAGGTGATTAAAGGTGGACACTAAAGCGCTTTAAATTTTCTTAAAGAAGCAGAAGCAGAAAAACAAAGGAAAATGGTTCTCTTTTCTCAAAAACTTATGTACGATGGTTGGAAAAGAGCTGACAATCCGTTAAGTTGCAGAGAACGGAAGAGAGATATGTTTTGTCTATTTTAAACTGTGCCATTATAGTGATGAAAATAGTTAAGAGAATCAGGAACCTTTCAAACAGCCCCGAGAAAAGTTCAAATGGGGGATCTCAAAAAAAAAGAAACAGGCGATAACAAGCAGAAAGAGGTCCTTTTGAGTAACATTAAGAAAGACCTAAAGAAAAGTCTAAAGAAGGTAACGAAATTTCTGGTAAAAGTAGGCTAGTCAATCTCTCCTAAATCAGTCAGTCATAACTTTCTGTGCGACTATGGGAATCCAAGACTCATGCCTGATATGAAACGCCCGTGCTCAGTTCTCGTAGCACCTGAATCAGGTGGCATCTAGCTATTCCTACTTTACCGACGAAATCAATGTTGATTTTAACATTAGCTTAGCAACAATGTGTGGCACTAAAACAACATATCATATTATTTTAACTAAAATATAACTGTTAAATTGTAATCCCTAACAATTTCAGTCTTTTTGGTTGAAAAATAAAGCGTCAGGAATTTTCATTATAATAAAAATTGTCTCTGCTTCCACTGGTCGTAGGGCATTTATTTTATTCTTCATAAATTTTGGAAAAATTTTGCCAATTAAATGGTAGAAGTTTTGAAACAATTATGTTGATATTTATTCAGTTACTTCATTTTGCAACTTGGCCCTTTTTTGCACTTTGATTTGCAAGACCCTGGTTGGAAAAATCGATTAGATATAAAAAAGACCAGAAGTACAGCTCTTAAGAAAGAGAATGAGCCTCAATACAATACTCTGCGACTTACCAAAGAGGTAATAATGAAGATTCAAAAAAGTAGTTTTTTAATGGATATATAGAGTTTTGCAAAAATTGTACAAAGAAAAATTTTCAGAAAAATACCACTAATATTACTTTTTTAAGCCGACAGTCTATTTAAATTTGGAACGTCTGCGTTTACAATTTTTCGTTCAGAACTTTATTTAAAAAACATCAATTTTTATTGATTTCTTGCATTTTGTAAAAAAACAAAAACACCAATTTCAACTCAACTGGTCTGATTTTGTAGATTTTTCTAATGTTTATTAATGTTAGAATTTTAATATACGATACATGTTATTGTAAACACAGATAAAAATTTATTTAAAAAGTTACAAATAAATCAAACGGCGTATTATCAATTTTCTGTATAAAATCGACTGTAACTCGGCCTAGGATAATTCCAGAAAACTAAAATTTTACATAAATACTATTCATTTATTAGTCATCAACATATGTTATAGCTAGAGCAGGTGAAGTTATTAACGAAGTTCTAAGCAAATTCAATAGGTAAATGATGGATTTTCTGCAAAAAATCGATTATAACTAGACCCAGGATGATCCAAGACACTTAAAATTGTACATTGATACTCTTTTATTGATGAGTCATAGGCATATGTTATTTCAAATACAAATAAAAAATTAATTAAAAGTTGCAAACTAATTAGGCACAATACCGTTTTTCTGTACTGAACTGAGCTCCACTTATATATATAGGATGATATGTATTGGTGCCATTTCTCGGAAACAGCGTAAAAAGCAATTTTTTCTGAAGCGAACCCCGTTGGAATTAATTTTTTAGCGCAAATAGCTTTTAAATGGAAGGCGATTGAAAATACGTTCCAAACTACCCCTAAATGGGGTTGGAAGGGTATGGCGCGCCCACATGAACTCGAGACGTTGCCACATTGTCATTAAGCTTATTTGGTAAGCAGTAAGAACTGTATACATGGGTATATCAATGTGCGCACGCACGAGCGTCTGCTATACTATACTGCTGGTAATTTTAAGGTTGGTTGTTACAAGATAAGTATTGTCTGCTCTTTATGCTATCACGTTTTGAAGCCATGCATCAGATGTAATTTCATGAATATTTCAAGGATAACATGTCAAATCATGTAACAATAAGAGTGTAATGGGGTAAACAGAACACCTACTAATAATCATAACGGTTATTAAAATTACATTGCAAGTATTATAACGCTAATGTTTTAAATGTGATAATTTCAATTCAGTATTAGTATCCCTTTTAAGATGAATAAACTCATATCTTATACATTTTATCACTAACAGAAGTTTTATGAGCTGATCAAGTCGAGACTAACACAAATTTTAAGATAATTAGTAAAAGTAAACACACATCGTCATGTACAAATGTACTTATACATATTGATATTCGTTTGTCCACGCACTTTCTGTCTTACTCACTCTCATCTTTCGAAGCGCCTAGAGTGATCTCTGCATTCCATGGGCAAGGACGGAGTTTTATAGATTCTCCTTACAAGTGCATGCGGCACGACTGTGGAATGGATTTCCCTCTGATCTGCAAGCGCTGGTGTCCCGTCCGTGCTTCAAACATCTCTTGAGGGAGCATTTTCTATGCCAATACTTTGGATGGTAGGCATTGCACGAGATTGTCGGTGGTACTTGGCAGGACCTCAGTGGGCACTTGGCGGATACTTGGCGGGTACTTAGCGGGCACTTGGCGGGTACTTGCCAGGCACTTGGCGGGTACTTGCCGGGCACCTTGCGGGTACTTGCCAGGCACTTGGCGGGCACTTAGCAGGTACTTGCCGGGTACTTGGCAGGTACTTGGCAGGTACTTGCCGGGAACTTAGCAGGTACTTGCCGGGAACTTGCCGGGCACTTGGCGGATATATGCCGTGTACTTGGCAGGTATATAGCAGGCACTTGGATCACCGTTGGCAGGTATTTAGCGTGCACTTGGCGGGTACGTAGCGAATACTTGCCGGGTACTTGGCGGATACTTGCCGGGTACTTGCCGGGCATTTGTCGGGTTTTTGGCGGGCACTTGGCGGGCCCTTGAGGGGTACCTTTTTTTCCGTCGGTGGTGCTGTTTCAAAGTATTTCACGCAGCGAATAACACAAGTACATAATCTATCATGGGCTCTCAATTATATTTTTTTGGTACTGTAAGCGCATGTATGACACATCACATAACTTTAATTTCAAGTAAACTGTAAATTCAGTCTACTGTAAATTGTACAAGAAAGTGTAAGATACGTACTTACGTAGTCGAATAGAATTTTACGTTCTTCACAAGTGTTTACCGTAACCTATTTCGATTCATTTTTCTTTATGCTTAAAAAAGATTTACGTACTCAACGATTTATATTAATTATAACACGATAAATCAACTTACAAATTTATTCACAGTTCAAAAGAGAAGCTTTACGTTCATTAATATATTTTTAAGTTTACAACACATTTTGTTTTGTTCTCTACGTTTTCTACGATTTCTACAACTTATCTACGTTTTAGGCAGTTTCTTACAAATCTATCAATAATAGTATCTAGGGATGGGTTGTCTACAAAATTTTAAATATTTTGTTGTATATTTGTAAGAAACTATCAAAAACGT